GAAAAGCATTGAGCATCATCAGGTTTTCCTCCACGGATCCAGATTCTAATTGCATCAGTCGAACTACCAGAGCATCCCAAGTCACATCTGTCTGCCATGCCCCTTAGACAGAGCAGGGTGAGCATCTGAAGACACATCTGTCTGCCATACCCCTTAGACAGAGCAGGGAGTTGAGGACCTGCAAGGACTCTGCACAAACATCTCCTGAGGTGGCCACAGGAAACTCTGCAGTGTGCTTGCATCCAGATGACATGTCAGAGCAAGCGCAGCCGGGCTGCATCTATAACTTTAATGTCAATTGGCTGTGACGCCTGTGCAGGGGGGCCTGGATTTAGAAGCAGAGCAGATAGACTCTACCAAGGCTGGTGACAGGCCCTAAACTCTGTTCCCATTGGAGAAAGTGGAGGGCGTAGCAGGAGGGAGAATTGCTCAGTCTGGCCTGGTGGCATTGTTTTATTAATGATCTGGACGAGCAGAGGAACAGTGATTTTAATTAAATTTGCCAGCAATATTAAAAGATGTCGGGAGCTACCGCTGAGGACACAGACACCTTGCAGAAGGCCCTGGGGAGTGAGGGGGAGTGAATTAGGAGAATAAACCAGGAAGGAGACAGGAGGTCATGGACTAAGCCAGGACATGTGTTCTGCTGAAGGGGCAGAAGGGAAGCAGGGGGTCACTCTGTGTGGAGTAAGCCATAGTCCCCTATTATCTGCAGCTGCTCTGTTCCCAAGCGTATTTTGAACTAATCTTCCTCTTCCAGTCTTTTCTTCCTTAGAGCTATCCTAAGCCTTTGGGGAAATGGATTTTTCTGAAACACAAATCAGACTGTGTTATTCTTCTGTTTAGAATCCCATCATTGGTTTTCCTTGTCTTAGGATCAAATTCCATCTTCTCAGCCTGCCATGGAAGACCTATAGTGAATGGACACGCCCCTGCCATCCGGCTTCTTCTGGCTTCTCTTCCCCGGGCTCTCTTTCCTGTCTCAAGTCGCCATGTCTTTGCCGGGGCTGTTCTCTTTGACTGGAATGCTCTTCTTGCTTTCTTTATTTTCTTTAAAGCTCACTCATGCTTGAAGACCTATTTCAGGGATCATCTCCTTCAGAACTGCCTCCCCGAGTCCCACGCTGGCTCAGCGCCCTCCCTGAGTACCTGGAGCCTTCTGCCCTTGCCCCCACACTTTGTAGGGAAACTGTCTATTTTTGTGTCTCTTTCTCCTCCTACTCAAGTGTACCATGGCGGGCAAACACTGCGTCTCATTTTTCATTTTACCCACTGGCATGTCGTGGCAAATCACAGGCATTTGTCAATATTTGTCAAGTTGAATGATGAGGAGAATATTCAGGTGGGTGACAGAAGCAGGCAGCCAGTGTAGCCCTGAGCCTGGGGACTCCGAAGCTCTGTCAAATGGCTAGTGTCTCCTCCGTGGGTACAACCACACAGTCACATTGATCCCGAGTCTGCATCAGACTGGGAGCTGACTGGAGCCATTCATGTTCTACAACAAAATGGGACCTTTTGGTAAAAATCGAGTGAGTGGCTTAAAACTGTACGCTTTATGTCATATCCCTGTATATTTTGGCTCTATTAATGATTTCTTTTGGCTTAAACTTTGAGTAAATGATTGAAATAAGACATTTTCTCAAAAATATAAAAAAAGAAATAAAAATTTTACTAACTTCGTAGGGTTGTTATAAAAATTACAAATAACATGATGTGTGTAGTAAATGCTTAGCAATAGTAATTGCTGTTAATATCTTTTCCAAGCTGAGCCCTATCGCTGGGTCTGGGTCTTTAAAAGGGTAAGGAGATACCCTGAAAGATTAGAATCTGCCTCAGTTTGTATTTGGGCCTGGAACAATGGCATTAAATAAAAAGACAATTGACTTTGTAAGTGGTCTAACAACGCTGCAGCCAGAATCTATTTCTGGGGTTCGGAGGGCAGAAAGAGAAAGCAGGCACTCAGAGTTTCTTCCTTCAGCGCCAAACACTGGTGCGAGTGCTTCCTAGCCAGTCGCCTTTCTGCCTTTTCCTTTTATTCTTGCCTTCAGCTTGCCTGTTTTCTCAGCCTCCAAGTCTAGTCCCATGACAGGGCATTCCCCATGACAGCCTGGAGCCACAGTCTGTCTGCAGGACTGAGGAATAACAAAGACCATGGCTCTGCCCTGCTGAGCAGGACAACTACCTCCATGATGCCCCACATCTGTGGATGGCTGCCCACTTGGGATGCCACCTTCATTCACCCCATGGGCTCTTGATTAAAAAGCTGCTTCAGCTGGGCCCACCTCCATCTCTTCCTGCAAGGCGCCTATGAGAAACAACCAAGTCAGGAGTTTTCAAAGTGGAGGCTAGAAGGCAAGATCCTCCCTTGTCCGCAATTCTCAAGGGCAAATAAGTATCAGATTTGTGGATGGGGATCTTTCTGCACACCACAGCTCCAAGACCTTTTTCCAAGCTTTGGATGCGATGCTGAACATTTTCAAGCACTCTGCTCCTGAATAGTTATCTCATGACCCCTTATCTTCCACGTGAAGTCAAGGACAAGGACCCCACGCCACTGTTATGGTGATGCTGCTCAGTTCCTGGATTAGTGTGGGCCCCAGCCTTGGGTGCTGTTCTGGGCAATATGAAGGGAAGGTCATCTATAGCTCTCTGGAAGGAAGACCTTTGTAGTTAGAGTATAGGCTGCATGTCTTTGTACTGGGGGGAAATTTCTGTCAGTGAGTTTTAGGAAATTAAAGAGAGCCTACACAACCTCTAAAATTGACTCATGATTCATCTATGAGATCTTTATATATTTCCAAAGCAATTAACTATAATTTAGATCATAAAATAGTTTTGGAAGAAGGCTGATTGATCTCTCGGGAGGCTTTTTTTTTTTTGGTGACTACATTTATCCATTTCAAAAGTGCGCATTTAAGAAACCCTGCTAACACCTACTCAGGATTCCACAGTAAACAGGGGAGACCCAGCCCTTGCTCTTATGTGAGCACAGCTTAATGGATAAGACATTAATCATCTAATACTAGAAAATAAACATACAATTTCAGAGCATTTGAAATGCCAGAGAGAGAAAGACTCCAGTGGGAGGAGATAACAGAGAGCACTGACCATTCTAATCAGTCAAAGGACATTTGTTGTTGTTGTTGTTGTTTGAGAAAGTGATACTGGGTTGGTACAGAGTGTTGTTGGGATTGGAAGGTACAAAGAGGAAGCTCTCCTTCCAGGCATGAATAACGGCAAGTGCAAAGGTCCTGAGGTAGATACTATCTTGTATAATCAGGGAGAAATGAAGGAAGGGCATTGCTGAATTGTAGTGAGATAACAAGAGGATGGAGTGGGAAGATAATGAAGGATATAGCTCCCACGGGGCTTTTTTTTTTGCTGGTCATGGTAGGGAATAAAGGATTTATACCAAAAGCAAGAAGAAACTATGGAAGATCTTCAGCTAGTGGGGAGTGAGACACTTAAATCTGTGGTTTTATGGGGGTGGGGGACAGCTGTTTGATGACTATACTTGACTGGAACTATTGTTCAGTGGAAGGGTACTTGTCTAGCAGGTGTGGGGTCCTTGGTTCTCGTCCCAGAATCCCAATAGTACTGACTGAAGAGGAAAGCAGAATTGAGATTTATTCTCTGGCAAGAGTTGGAGTGGGGCTTTTAGTTAGAAGGTCACTGTAGCAGGTCCATCGGATAGGGGACAATGGTGACTTGGACCTTGAGGGTGGTGGTGAAGACCGGAAAGAGAGCTAACAGGATTCAGTGCGGGACTGGACACAGAGCAGGAGGGAGAGGGTTGCTTGCGGACGAACACCTGTTACCTGCACAGATAACTGGGTAGGTGGGAGCGACGCTTTCAGAAGTGAGAACCACTGGAGAAAGAATAGCCTGTGTGGAAGATGAGGACCTCGACGCCTCTGAGGCGTTGAATAACTGGAAGCCCATATCCACCCATTACTAACCACATTCCACAGGGTTTTAGCAGCGAGGGGGAAGTGGATGGCTTGCCTATAAAAACTCGGGTTTGGTTGTTTCCATTCCTGTTCTGTCTGAGTAAGCCAGAGAGCGGAAGGACTTATAGCCACAAATGAAGTCGCCTCCGTTGGAAACCCTGAGTGTCCTTCCAGTCTCTTCAACAGGGCCACCATGCAGTGCTTTGAGCCCAACAGATAAGGCCACGTGCCTTCCCCAAATATGCTTCCCGTCTTTACAGACGTGTTTATGAGAACCGTTCCCATGTTTTATTAGTAACAATGTCTACTTATTGGCCCTCTCCATGTTTTCCCTCAGAATTCTGCAGCTGAATGATCCATAGCCTGTCTTGCGCATGGTTTGATAGGTGAGCCAGAGGCACAGTCGGAGGCACACTTTGCAGAGTTTCAGTTTAGCTCCGGTGCAGACAGCGGTCACTATGAAATTAATTTTATTATTTTTACAAGGAGCCTCAAAAATCCCTGGCTGCCTCCAGAAGTTTTGTATTTGAGGAAGGAGCTTTTACCCACAAGAGCTCAATTACACACAGAACAAGGTGTTCTATCCCAGGGACCAGCCCATTAAAAACACACCTCAATTCAGCACATGCGCTTGCAAACCTGTGCTTTGCAAGGTTCTTGAGTACGGAAGCAAGGCAAAGACGACTGAGATTTCTAGCAACGGTACAAGTGGGAAAAAAGACTCAGGGCACAAGGACCTCTTTGAAGTTTATTCTAGGGACAAGGGGAGCTACAACTCAGGACTAGGGGGTGTCATTTGGGTTTCCACTCCTAGCCTTGCCAGCTATTTCAAACCATTCTGCCACCGAGTCTCCACCAGATGGTTTTTGAGGCCAGAGAAGCTATTCGTGTCTTCCATTGACATCCAGTTTTCCAAGTGAGAGACAGCTCCGTATGTCAGTGCCATATGTCAATCGAGGTGAACCATCCATTTGTGTTGGTGGGAACCTGCCATTTGTTGACCCCATTTTTTCTCATGCCTTTTCCTGCCTCTCTGATTTTTCTTTCTAGGTCTCAGGCCTGTCAGGAGGACCATTGGTGCTGCGGTGGAGCAGGAAGCTAAGTCTTGTGTATGGCGTGGTTACGGTTGCAGCCTCTCACCTCTGCCTTCCTCCATTTTGGGCTGGTTACTTTTGTGCTCTTCCTGAATGGTCTTCGAGCAGAGGCCGGTGACTCGGGGGATGTGCCCAGTGCAGGCCAGAACAATGAGTCCTGTTCGGGGTCATCGGACTGCAAGGAGGGGGTCATCCTGCCAATCTGGTACCCAGAGAACCCTTCCCTTGGGGATAAGATTGCTAGGGTCATTGTCTATTTTGTGGCCCTGATATACATGTTTCTTGGGGTGTCTATCATTGCTGACCGCTTCATGGCGTCGATTGAAGTTATCACCTCCCAGGAGAGGGAAGTTACTATCAAAAAGCCCAATGGAGAGACCAGCACAACTACAATTAGGGTCTGGAATGAAACTGTTTCCAATTTGACCCTGATGGCCCTGGGCTCATCTGCTCCAGAGATTCTCTTGTCTCTGATTGAGGTGTGTGGTCACGGGTTCATTGCTGGTGACCTGGGACCATCCACCATCGTCGGCAGCGCAGCCTTCAACATGTTCATCATCATTGGCATATGCGTCTATGTGATCCCGGACGGGGAGACCCGGAAAATCAAGCACCTGCGAGTCTTCTTCGTCACTGCTGCTTGGAGCATCTTTGCCTATATCTGGCTCTACATGATCCTAGCAGTCTTCTCTCCTGGTGTGGTCCAGGTGTGGGAAGGCCTCCTTACCCTCTTCTTCTTTCCAGTGTGTGTCCTGCTGGCTTGGGCGGCAGATAAGCGGCTGCTCTTCTACAAATACATGCACAAAAAATACCGCACAGATAAACACCGAGGAATTATCATTGAGACAGAGGGCGAGCACCCTAAGGGCATTGAGATGGATGGGAAAATGATGAACTCTCACTTCCTAGATGGGAACCTGGTCCCCTTGGAAGGGAAGGAGGTAGATGAGTCTCGCAGGGAGATGATCCGGATTCTTAAGGATCTGAAACAAAAACACCCAGAGAAGGACTTAGATCAGCTGGTGGAGATGGCCAATTACTATGCCCTTTCCCACCAACAGAAGAGCCGCGCTTTCTACCGCATCCAAGCCACCCGCATGATGACAGGTGCAGGCAATATACTTAAGAAACATGCAGCAGAGCAGGCCAAGAAGACCGCGAGCATGAGCGAGGTGCACACGGAAGAGCCCGAGGACTTTGCCTCCAAAGTCTTCTTCGACCCGTGTTCCTACCAGTGCCTGGAGAACTGTGGAGCTGTCCTCCTGACTGTGGTGAGGAAAGGAGGGGACGTGTCCAAGACCATGTACGTGGACTACAAAACAGAGGATGGCTCTGCCAATGCCGGGGCCGACTATGAGTTCACAGAGGGCACGGTGGTTCTGAAGCCAGGCGAGACCCAGAAGGAGTTCTCGGTGGGCATCATTGACGATGACATTTTTGAGGAGGACGAGCACTTCTTTGTGAGGCTGAGCAATGTCCGTGTGGAAGAGGAGCAGCTGGAGGAAGGGATGCCCCCAGCCATGCTCAATAGTCTTCCCTTGCCTCGGGCTGTCCTGGCCTCCCCTTGTGTGGCCACAGTGACCATCTTGGATGATGACCATGCAGGAATTTTCACTTTTGAATGTGATACCATTCATGTCAGTGAGAGCATTGGCGTTATGGAAGTCAAGGTTCTGAGGACATCAGGTGCCCGGGGCACAGTCATCGTTCCTTTTAGGACAGTAGAAGGGACAGCCAAGGGTGGTGGTGAGGACTTTGAGGATACGTATGGGGAGCTGGAGTTCAAGAATGATGAAACTGTGTAAGTAACCTTCCCATATTTCCTTCCCGCACAGCCCACCCTGCGCCGCCTCTCTCTGAACTTCCACACAACTCCTTCCATCGCTCTGTTATGTCTGTGTTAATTGCAAACTTTGCTTTCATCACAGGTATGCGGGATCAGCAGACACCACTGGATGGGGCCTGTGCCCAAGCCCCCCTTAAGTTTTCTCGTTCTAAATTGTTTCTAGACAAAGAGTCCTGTGGCAAGGTCTAAGCACACAGAACGTTCTGTCCATTAAAACCCAAGACGATGCATGGCAGAGGTGTGAGACAGTAGATGCTTATATGCGATCTTGGAGAATGCTAGCCAGCAAGCAAGAGCTGGGAAAGCACACAGGCTTCTCCCTCTTCTCTCTTCCGTACCAAGGGTTATGAGTTTGGAAACTTACTATTCTAGGACAATAATAGTCTGGTCATAGTATCCTCAAGGAAATAATTGGCACTGGTTTATTTCTCCCCAGGACCACATTGCAGTTGTGCTACGTCTCCAGATTCCAGACACTCCCCTTTCCATTTAGAAATTGAGAAGCTGATTGAAACTTGGCAAGGTCTTTAAATATCCATAAGCTATTTTGTGGAACATGGCTTGTCTAACTTGAATGAGGCAAGTTAATGACCAGAGTACTGGAAACGTCATGGAGAGGGAAAAGTCTTCGGGCCATTGTCTTTGCCTCTAGGTCCGGTCTAAGCTTCAGATTCTGGCTAGACGCTGAAGGGGACTTGTGAACGAAACCACGTCTTCTGTGTGGTTTCACAGTCCAAGTCTCCCCTGCACTGTTTCTGCCCCATCCCTCCCATCGGAGAGGCTGATCTTTTGTCGTCTCTCTTCACTGATCCTTCCTGAAAATGGGGCATTCTGAATCTCTGGTTGCACAGATAACACTGAAAAAGTAAAAATTGGTTTTCTTAGCTTGCAGCAGGGTCAGCTTTTCAAGGAAGCTCATGAGGATACCAATGAGAAAGGTACCCTCCTCTGAGTATCTACTGTTCCACAGTAGGAGATGCTGTGGAGGAGAGATATCAAGGGGGATGGAAAACTGCTCCCAGAACCTGGGACTTCTATTCAGGAGAAATGGAATTATTCAGAAAGCAGAAGGAAAGGAAGGGAAGGGTCTCATGGAAAGGGAGATCAATAGGCCCAGGAAAGGTGTTCTTGGAGAATTTCTTCTTGGGTCTGCCTGTTGGGCAGCCATGGAACGATCTAAAAGGCTTCAATTCTGCTGGCAACAGCTGGGTGGCCCAAGAGATTCTTCTGTTGTGTTTCCCCCGTCTCTTTTGACTTTGGACAAGTCACTTAGCAACTGAAAGAAACACTCATATAAAGTATGGCGATAATAATACTTTCCTTGTCTGGAGGCAGGGTCGGATTATCACACATGTCCTTCCAGCTCTAATATCTTCTGAACCCAAATATAGGCATTGAATGTTGGTCATATTATCACTCGCTGTAAGAATAGGGCAAGGGAAACTGATTCCTAAATTGTAATAGCTTTGAGAAGTTGGTTTGTCAGAACACTGTTGAGACTTTTTTACTAGGAAGGATAATCATTTGTTAACATAAGCAAAAACCTGTGCCTTCTGGAGAATACTAGCCATTTCTACATGATTCACAATAGTATTCATACATACATGGAAAGCCAGGCTCTCACTGGGAAGATAAACTTCGTGAAGTTTCACACATGTTCATGGTCTTGTTGGCATGTGTCCATTGTCAGACATTAAATGACATAAAATCCACACAGTTCCCTGTAGTTGGCTAGATTTGGGGGGGATTCACAGTCAATATTTGTCTTTCAGTGTCATAGACAGTTAGTTTGGGGGAGATCAGAACTTTCAGAAATTGGTCCCCAATTTATTCATTCTCTTAATCATCAGTTATTCATCTAGGATCTCTGAGTATGACTCCACCTTCTTAAAACTCCCCCTCCCTCCCTCTCCCCCCTTTCTCCCTCCTCTCTCCCTTTCTCTCTCTTCCTCCCTCTTTCTCTTTTCCTCCCTCCCCTTCTCCTTCTCTTTCTCTCCCTCCCTCTCTCTTATTCCCTCTCTTCCTCTCTCTTTCCCTCCATCCCTCTGCCCCATCTCTCTCCCCTCCTCTGCTATGTGCACATGTGTATGTGTGCCTTGGCTTTAGTAAACAAGTGTGTTTCTATCTATCCCTTTGCACTTTGGCCTCTGTACAGTTCGATCCTTTACTCTTTCTTTACTACAGAAGAGCAAGCCCAAAGCATGTTACTCTATTGCCATACAGTCACCTGACCCATGGTGCTTTAAACTGTAATTTTATAACCAGAGGCAGCAGAGGTATGGAGTTGAGCAACCATGGACTCTGCATACTTTTGGTCAGAAGCCCAACTTCTCTACTGACTTAACCACACGAGTAAGAAACATTTTATTACCTATGATGTAACTCTCTCACTGATAAAATAGGAATATCTTTCTTCCAGAACTTATTGGGATGTCTCGCGATGTTCTGGTTTCATGGTGTGTGTTCAATAAGCAAGGCTGGTAGCAGCAGTGTGATGAATGAACAGCATCTTCAGGAGACACTACTGAGGGGATCAGGTTACTGGAATCTCTGTATGACTGTAATTAATGCATATGCTAGACTCTGGTCACTGGGATGAGTCCTCGCTTGAATTTATGAAATAGTAGAACCAGACAGGGCCTTGCACCTTCTAAAGCACTTGCTCCTAAACATTATTATCAGAAGTACACATAGGGTAGAGCATTTCCTGTAAACCCATTATGGTGCTAGTCTCAACTTACAAGTAAAGACTATGAAGGTCCTGACCAAATCATGAGACCTAGAAATAAAAACAGCTTTTCAAATGACTTGCTTAATTGAGTCAAGAATGAGTACTTTCCAATTTCAACTTTCAAATCCCAACACAGCAACAACCCAACTCTTACTAAGGCTTCACTAATTGCAAAGTCATTCTGGGAACTGATTCTGACACCTTCAGGAACTTGGACAGAAGCTGAGTGATCTTTGGAATAATCCCTGTTTTGACTCCTTATCTTTTGAAGCTTTGTTTGCCCAATAATTATCAAAACTGGCCATACTGGAACTTTTGCCTAGGTATCACCAAGCTCCAGGCAAGTCCATGCTCTCTCAGGAATACTGGAACCAAGGGGATGGCTCAGTGAGTAAGCATACCTGCTGTGCCACTGTGAGAAACTGAGTTCGAATCCTCAGAACATGAAAGATGAGCACCTGTAATCCCAGGGCTCCTGTGGGGAGATGGAAGATGGAGACAGGAGAATCCCTGGGAGTTGGCAGGCCAGTTAACCTAGCATACACAGTAGAAAAACAATAATTAGATCCTGTCTCAGACAAGGTAGAAGATGGCTGACAGCCAAGATTGTCTTCTGAGTTCTGCACGAGTGCTGTAGTGTGTGAACCCTTGCATTCACACACTAGAATGCTTGTGTGCACACACTAGATCCGTGATGTTTCTTATTTACTCCTTTAAGGGAGCATCGTGGTACGATGGAAAATCCCGAAGCCTGAAACCTGATAAATAGATATGGACCCAAGGCATAGTGATGTCATCTGCATGGGTTCTAGAGATTTTGTCGTTGCTGAAGCAATAGAAATAATATGATCTATCTATCTGTGAGATGTTAACTTCAAAATACAAATAGGAAAAAAAATGCAAAAATGCACCCTTATCACTTGGCCATCTCCTTCAGGTGCTCAGTCATTCAACAAACATTTACTAAATGTTTGGTATGTCCTAGTTCATTACTCAGCCCTGAGGATAGAGAAATAAGACCAGCTGGCCTTTCATCTCCCAAGGATCTTCCTCTCAGAGAGAAAGGACCAGTGTACACACACAAATATAGACACACAGGAGAACAGTATGTTTGGGAAGGAGTCAATAAAAAGGAGCAAGAGCTCCCTACTGTGTGTGAGAGACAAGCTCCTTGTGTGCCAGAGACACACTCAAGAGTTAAGGCACCTTCATTAAGGACATAGGAAGTGGGAGGGAAGGTGGTATGTGACTGACTTTCTCCTGTATTACAAGGAACCGTTGACATGTAACAGATACTGCTGACGTCTTCATGATCCAGGAGAATCCCCAGTTTTATGCCTATCACTACAGAATTATGGCTGCTGAGTCTACAGCAAACAGTAACAAAACCTCTTGGAGACAGGAGTTTCGCCTGCATGATAATTTCACTCATTAAGCAAGTGACTGGTTTCTATATATCTCCAGCTCACAGCACGCGTCTTCAAAATAACAGGTTTTTGCAGCTCACAGACCTTTGGGGGGTCTCTGGAAATAGTCAAAGCCACAGATGTCAAATATGCAAATGGCAGGATCTACTCTAATTAAATAGCAGAGGCCTCCTGTAAGGAAGAACGCAGTATTGACTTGTGGCACGTGTGTAACCTAAATTATATGCTGACGCTGGAAAGTATTTGACCTCTCATTTTACAAATTATAAAGATGAATTCAGAGAGTGAAAGTGATTTTTCTCAATATCACATTAGATATGATGGAAAGTCAGGCTTGGGAGAACATTAGAAGCTACCAATGTGAATGTCCCCTTCTACTTCAGACATCTCTGTTTTATTTTTATTCACCAGTAAAATGTTAAGTTTGGAAAGAATATGACAATTTGGATGTGAAAACTACCTTGGGAGTGTGAATCTTGAAATATTATGTGTCTAATGTCTTAACTAAGAATAATAATACAGCATGGACTATTTTTAATACCTTGGTTCACCTTGAGACTGTTTGGGAAGTAAGACCCTGTACCATTGGGTTTTATCCTTAGTAAAGGTTTGTCTTCATTGGACTCTCCTGACTCCAAAGGTCAAAGTTTCCTCTTTCACTCCTAAGAACAAAGATGCTTTCATAGAGCCAGGCTAGTTAGTGAGGCTCCTTCTTGACCTGATCTTTCCATCAAATTCCTAGGTGGTTTTGTATGGGTTAGACGTGTGCCTTTCTTTCTACATTTGTATAGGCTTCC